CAGCAAAAAAAGGAGTTCATGACGTAATCTTTCATGTTGTAAGGTCTATAAATAGACCTGAAATACACTGCAGTCGCCATTAAATTATAAAAGTCACTGTCCATACATGACTTTCCAGGTGCAGGAAATAGGTCAGCCGAGACGGTAGTATATGTAAATGTCTAGTGCAAAATGACACGTGGAGTCGTCACATCTGTCAACATAATAACAGCGGGAAAGACAAGAGTAGAGTAGCTACATACATACCAGTCCCTTACAGATGAAATCATTAATATATACGAACGTCATACATATATCTTTAGCACATTTCATGGATCCAAATGTTAGTCAGATGACTATAGGATGTGGAATAATTCATAATAAATACTTTTTCCCATATTACAAGTACCAATTATACAATTATAAAATTTTACATACGAGGTGCGATCGGAAAGTTTAAAGACTGCGCCTATAAAATCATCGACAGAGGTTCGGCCATTTTTAAAACGTGAATGCCACACAAAAGTTTGTGCACGACCCATTGCGGACTCCCCAAATGCTTGCTTTAGCATTTTATAGGTTTCCGTAGCCGTTTTGGCGAGTCTTTGGCAAAATTTGATGCACACGCCATTCCGAAATCGCAGGAGGGTCGGTGTAATGCACTACCAAAACGCCCGTAACTAAGAAACAAATGCTAATTCGATGATGCCGGCTGGCACACTGATTCACTATGAATGTAGGCCGCACGCCCTAGCGGCAGAAGCTCGTACTACATCCGGTTCGCCCTCTATTGACACAGTCTTGAAACTTTCCGATCGCACCTCGTAATACAAACGAAGGGTTGAAAATAAATCCACCCATTACATACAGTAGATAATTATACTTCCCACTTACATCATATAAATACAATAAAACATCAATAAACATTATTTCTTACTTGTATGCATTAGAAATTCATCAACAAATCAAAAGGAGTGCGTAATTAATTAATCTTCCTTCAAACCAAGGAGTTCAAACACTTCGCTCGAAAGTCATTCGACATCAGCGACCGTCGGTATCTCAGACTATACCGTCTACGGTCAATAAATAAGTTGGGAAGGATACGAAAGGAAACGGTCGTGGGATAATGCACTATCTTGGTATTTTCATGGATGTACTGAGGAAAACCACGAAAAATATTAGTCAGAATAGGTGGGATGATGACCGCGTTAGGGTATGCGCAAAATCGCACGTTTCGTGAGAGATATAATGAGTACGTTGTCTGAAAAAGGTTCGTTCATCCACGCTCCTTCAATATCGGAATAGAAGAAGTTGCATTAGTGTGTGGGTGCAACTCCCAAACAAATTTATAGCTTCTCACGACAGTTACAAATTATCCCGATATAACAGAAGTGACGTGGACGTCGAAAAAGGGTTCAGGGTCACTTTTCCTTCACAGTTGGACTAGAAAGGAGGTCGGATCTGTCTCACTTTCAAAAATATCGCTTTAAATTTACAACTACATGTGACTTTCGTTATACGCGCTTTCGCATTGCTCGGTTCTATTTCAGTATCACAATGAGTATCCAATATCACATCCGTGGCCACGTAAAATCTGCCCGCTTCTGCCAACCGAGTTGCGCGCGGTTTCACTCAATCCCCCATAATTCTGAGTTCGGGTACTATAAATTAAAACACCTCATGGGGTATGAGTCTGAAAATACATAAGCATGTTACACGTTCCCCGTTTTACGTGTTTTCTACGTAGCATGAACGTAACCCCCGCGAATTCCACAGAACTCTTGAAATAATCCGAAAATACATTCACGAAACTAAGTAATCTATTAAAGCCACGGACGAAAACGGCGATACAGCTGAGAATCGGCCTTATGATGGAGGCAGCAAGGACCACTGAAACGTCGATAACCTTCTGCCAGACTACACGA